ATATCTTTATTTTATTTTTATGTGGTGCTGAGGATCAATCGAGTCCAGTGCCTCATGCATGCTGGGTGAGTGCTCTACGTCTGAACCACAACCCCATCCCTGGGGCAGGGTTTGAACTTGCAATCCTCCTCCCTCAGCCTCCCCAGCCACTGGGATTACAAAAGTACACCACCATACCCAGATAAAAACGTTGTTTTAAGATCATAAATTTTGGGATAATGTTACAAATTCTGTAATCACTTAAGAATTACATTTAGCTACAGCAGAGATTCCCTCAAGCCCAGTGGCTTAATGATTTTGTTTTTCTTTCTCACAAAAATATAAGTTGGAAGATTGGCAGTTCAGAATTGGTATGACATCTTCACATTCTCTTCCATAACCCAGGTTGCTCTCCATTTTTATTCTGGCATCTTAACTGTGGCTTAATTTCTCTAGTTTTTCTCCCCATATTGCTGCTGGAACTCCAGCCATCACATTTCAGACAGGAAGCAAATGAGAGAAGGGTTTTCTGGAAGTTTTGCCCATGACTTTCATTAATAGGTACATCATTGACTTATGGCAGTTGAGAAATGTTTTTTATTTGGGCACAGTGTTGACCAAATAGTATAAAATGTCTGTTAGGCAGGGCAAGGTGGCTCATGTACACCTGTAATCCCAGTGGTTTGGGAGACTGAGGCAAGAGGATCTTAAGTTAAAGCCAGCCTCAGCAATTTATTGAGACCCTGTGATAGACCCAACCTGATCTTTTCTTAAAATTGGGCATCTCGCCACAAAACCATGAAAAGATAATTTCGGCTTTACTATAAATTACTGCAAATTCTGAACCTGCTTGGAATGCCTGCCCATGCCTTGAACTCACCCATGCCTGGCTCTCTGACCAGATAGCAGCCCTCTCTGAAACTTAGTGACACCTCATAAATATTGGCCTTCCCTGGCCAGACAACAACCCTCTCTGAGGCTCTAATGGTCCTCATAAATTCTGATGTTGGGGCCAGCAAAAAAAAAAAAAGTAAACTACCATTAGTGTGATGCTTGTCAGAGTTCTGTTATTTGTAACCCCCCTTTTGTGTAACTTTCTGGGCTATAAAGCTGGGCTGTAGGAAAGGTGGGGTGCTGTCTTGTTCCCGCCGTTTTGGGAGAGAGAGGCAGCCCGGCCGGTCGAAATAATAAGCTTGCTTTAATTTGATTTTAATTGGAGTCAGTGGTCTTTTCTTGCGTCCTGGTCTAACACCTGTCTCAAAATAAAAAACACCTAGAGGCTTAGGAGGCTGAGGCAGGAGAATCTCAAGTTCAAAGCCAGCCTCAGCAACTTCGAGACGCTATGCAACTCAGTGAGATCCTGTCTCTAAATAAAATACAAAATAGGGCTGGAGAATGTGGCTCAGTGGTCGAGTACCCCTGAGTTCAATCCCCCCCCCCAAAAAAAAGAAAAAGAAAGAAAGAAGACTCAGTAGTTAAGTCTCTCTGAGCTAAATCCACAGTACCACATAAATAAATAAATAAATAAATAAGAATAAGTAGAATAGAAAGTTTTCCAAAGAAGATATTCAAGTGGGCAATAAGAACATAAAAATATGGGCTGAAGTTGTAGCTTAGTGGTAGAGTACTTGCTGAGCATGTAAGGCACTGGGTTCGATTCTCAGCACCACATATAAATAAAAATAAAGGTACATTGACAACTAAAAAAAAGAAAAAAATTTTTTAAAAAGGACATAAAAATATGCTCATCATCTTTAGCCATTAGAGAAATGCAAATAAAAACCACAATGAGATACTACTGCACATCCACTGTGATGACTATTATCAAATAGATAACTATTGGAGAGAACCTGGAGAAATGGGAATCCTCAAACACTACTGGTGGAATTGTAAATGGTACAGCCACATTGGAAAACAGTTTGGGAGTTCTTCCAAAGGCTAAATACAGGATTACCATATGCTCTAGCAATTCTACTCCTGGATATATAACCAAGAGAAATGGAAACATATGGCCACATAAAAACTTGTACATGAATGTTTATAGCTGCATTATTCATAATTGCCAAAAAATAAACTGGGTATGTTGGCTCACTCCTATAATCCCAGCTTCCCTGGAGGCTGAAGCAGGAGGATATCTTATACCCAGGAGTTCTAGGCCAGCCTGGCAACAAAGTGAGACTTTGTCTCAAAATAAAACATAACAACTGGGTGTGTGATGTATGCCTGTAATCCCAGTGATTTGGGGAGGCTGAAGCAGGAGATTGCAAGTTTGAGGACAACCTCAGCAATTTAGTGAGGCCCTAATCAACTTTTTTTTTTTTAGACTAGGGATTGAACTCAGGGATGCTTAACCATGGAGCCACATCCCCAGCCCTTTTTAATTTTTGAGTCAGGTTTTCATTAAATTGCTTAGGGAGGGCCTCGCTAAATTGTGGAGGCTGGCTTTGAACTCCCTATCCTCCTGCCTCAGCCTCCTAGGATTACATCTATGGTTAGGGATATGAAAGAGGCTCAAGGCATGATTAAATAAAAAAAAAAAAAAAATCCTGTTGATGAACAGTATTTATGATTGGTGCGATTTGTTTTATAAAAATTGAACCCAGAGGCACTTTACACATCCCAAGCCCTTTTTAATTTTTTATTTTGAGAGAGGTTCTCACTAAATTGCTTAAGGTCTTGTTAAATTGCTGAGGCTGGCCTGGAACTTGTGATCCTCCTGCCCTGCCTCAGCCTCCTTAGTCCCTGGGATTACAGGCGTGTACTATCACACCTGACTTTGATATCTTGGTCTTTTTTTTTTTTTTTTTTTTTTTTGGTACCAAGGATTGAACCCAGGGGCGCTTAGCCACTGGGCCACATCCCCAGTCCTTTTTAATATTTTATTTAGAGATAGGACCTCCCTAAATTGCTGTGGCTGGCTTTTAACTCAAAATCCTTCTGTCTCAGCCTCCTGATCTGCTAGGATTATAGGCATGCACCACTGCCCTGGCTTGGCTTTGATCTTTATTCAAAGGAGAATGGTGCTGTGGGAAATCATGTTCTTCTATATATGCTTCTGAATTTGCTTTTTGTTTGTTTGTTTTTGTGGTGCTAGAAGCCAGGCCATGGAGCATCATGCTAGGCAAGCTCACTACTGCTGCGTCACAACCCTAGTCCCAACTTGCATTTTTATTTAAAATAAATATTACTTTTGTAATTGAAGTAGATTCTATCTAGATCAATCGTTGGAGGAAGAACATTAAGGATATCATGGACTCTATAGCATTCGTTACAGTCAGTCCTTTCCAGCTAAAGACAAAGTCTTCAGTGACTCCCTACAGCTTCCAGGAAAAAATCCAGATTTCTCACTGTGATCTGTTCCCTGCTCCTAGTTCATCCTGCTCCCACACAAACTTAACTGTTCACCCAGTAGAACCACCTGCTTTCCTTGCACAGGTACCACATGTGCTTTCTCTGCCTAAACATATGATGGATTATGAAATTATCTCCTAGCACGGAGGAGATCCTGGATTCAATCCCCAGTACCACAAAACAAAAATAAAAACAAAAACAACAACGAAACAACCGACACAGTAAAAATTCTACTGTATTGGCTATCATTATAACATCTTTCTCAGTGCATATTTTCTTTTTTTTACCCTGTTTTCTTTCTCATTATATTGAGTTACTTATGCACTTGTGTACTTCACAAGTTGTCAATTTAGTGAGACCTTGTCGCCAAATAAAAAAATGAAAAGGGCTGGGATATAACTTAGTGGTAAAGCACCCCTGTTTTCAATCCCCTACCAAACCAAACCAAACCAGATTAAACAAACTCCAGAAAACAAACACGCCTTGACAAGGTTCCTTCCAAAAGTCTACCTGAAAATTAATGGGCGAGACTTTGGGGGAATTAGACCATTTATCTTGCTATTTCTTCTCCTTGCATACCGTCCCTGTCCCTTTTGCTTTTAGGGATGAGTTTCTTCGGAATTCACAGTGCTTTTGCATCAAAGATATCCAGTCCCGGGGCTAGGGCTGGGGCTCAGTGGCAGAGGCACTGGGTTCGATCCTCAGCACTATATAAAAATAAATAAATCAAAAAAGATATCGTGTCCATCTACAACTAAAAAGAAAAAAAAAATCCAGTCCCTTTAAGGTCTTAGATGACGTAATGGCTAGCCCCTCCTCCCTCCCGCCTCTCTGTACTGTTCTAAACCCTTCCCACTGTTTTACGACCTCCGGCAATTAACTACACGACGTTTTCTGTGCTTCATCCGGGCTCCTGGGACTGGGAAAGTGGCTTCGTAACTAGGCAACTACTGATCCACCCCCTCCAGCGGATTTGCAGTTCAGTTGGTCTGTGCTTTTTACTGAACGGTTGCGGATTGCGGTAGCCAAGTGCCCCCTCCCCGCCCGCCTTGCGTTGCCATAACAACAGTACACAACCCTATTAACCACCCTGCGCCTCTTCCAAAACAATCCTTCCTTCTCAGATTCAAGACCCTCTCCAGAACTGCTTCTAGTTGAGCAGAACCGGGGTCAGCACCCCTTTGCGAATGGGGATTAGTTTGGAGGGTTGAAGACTGCACGTCAGGCTGATGTTCCAGAAGAGTCAGGGGAATGGGGCTAAACTGAGAGGCAAAGTTATTTGTAACCAATGCAGGGGGGTTAGAGTTGGAAGAGGGGAGGTGAAGGTAACCGAGGGGAGGAGGAGAAATTGGTAGGGAAGATTGAATAGGACTTGATTGAAGGGGAAGGTGGAAGAAGTGGGGAGAGGGAAGTCCAGGAAACAGGGAAACTGGTCTGCTGGAGAGTTGGAGCCACTGCAAAGGGCAGGAAAAATCTGGGGGTCCAGGAAGGCATTCTGAAAGGAGAGGAGTCCTTGGTGGTATGTATGAAATGGGTGTTGGAAGTCAAAACGAAATATTCACAGGATGAGGGAAGAAGTTCAGTTGGAAGGGCAGGGGTGATAGGCCGGGTACATGTCCATGGAGGCCAGGGAGTTGAGGGTTGGTGGAAGCCAAGTCTTTCTTTCTCAGGACAAGGACTGAGCTTGATCTGATTCCAGAATCTTCCAGCGGGGAGAACGATGTCAGATGAGGATGATCTGGATGACTTTGAGCCAGAGTCAGAGCCAGACCAGGAAGATCTGGAAAAAGAAGAAGATGAGAAGGAGACAGAGGAGTGGGAGGACTACAAGAAGGAGGGGGAAGAGTTCTCCGAGGAAGTGAGAGCCTACAAGGGGAGGGTCCTAGGGCTGGGGTGGGCTGGAAAGGGATGTCTCACTTTACTTCCTCCTGCAGTGGATGCCGGTCCCCCTCACTGAGAACATGATGAAGGAAGGGCTTTCTTTGCTGTGTAAGACTGGCAGTGGACTGGCTCATGCTTATGTTAAGCTTGAGCTTAAAGACAGGTGCGTTTATGAGGGACCAGATATGGACTAAGACATTGTAGGGCCCTATCTGCTTTCCCACTCTCATTCCTGGGTATTTGGACTGAAAGTTTGGATCTCTCTCATCCTGAACTAATGGGGAGGGAAAGATGGAATTTACTTTTTAGGATCTCTTAAGTCTTCCTAGGGGTGGGAGGTATAGCTCAGTGGCAGAGTGCTTGCCTAACATGGGCCCTAGGCCTTGGATTGGACCCCACTGATACAAAACTAAGGAATAAAATTCACCTTGGAGAAATGTAGCCTGACAGGATATTGGAGATGTTGTTGCTGGACTTCCTCACCTGTCCTTCAGAGTGTAGATCTCAACTCTTCAAAGACACAGTCTCTGCCCTCCGTTAATGACTCATGTACTGGGCTGGCTATGTAGCTAAGTAGTAGAACACTTGTGTTTGATCCCTGGCATCACCGAAAAAAACAAAAAACAAAAAACCTCCTCTATCTTCTCTTCCCTCTCCTGTCACCTAATCACTCCATTATAAGCCATCTCCATATTGCCTTGTGCTTTAGCACCTCTGCCTGTTCTAGCTGTGTTCTTGCCTCTAATCCTTCCTCTGCCATCTCCTAGGGACCTGACAGATATTAACTTGCTGCACTCCTACATCCATCTGCGCTATGTGGATATTTCTGAGAACCACCTGACTGACCTGTCTCCACTCAATTTCCTCACTCACCTGCTGTGGCTTAAGGCTGATAGCAATCGGCTTCGGACTGCCCGACTGAATGAACTACCCTACCTGCAAATTGCTAGTTTTGCCTACAACCAGATCACTGATACTGAGGGCATCTCTCATCCTCGTCTAAGAAGTCTAGATCTCAAAGGTGGGTTCTTAGGATTGGCTACACAAGATTCTTCCCTTCATTTTTTTTTTCTTTTGGTACTGAGGATTAAACCCACGGCCTAAAGCATGCTAGACAAGCACTGTACCACTGAGCTACATTTCTGGGCCAATTCTTTCCTTCCTAGTCTGGGTCTGATAGAAGGGCAGTATTGTCCTTGACTGAATTACACAGCACTCTTCATTCATTCATTCTTTTATTCATTAAGGCATTTGCAGAGGTAGGGGTAGCTCAGTGGAAGAGCACTTGCTTAGCATGCATGATGCCCTGGATTCATCCCCAGCACCAGAAACACATACACAGACACAGACACACACAGACACACACACACACACACACACATCAAGAAGCTCACTATGACTGGATGCAGTGTCGCACGCCTTTAATCCCAGTGGTTTGGGAGGCTGAGACAGGAGGATTGAGAGTTCAAAGCCAGCTTTAGCAAAAGCAAGGCTGCTAAGCAACTCAGTGAGACCCTGTATCTAAATAAAATACAAAAAGGGCTGGGGATGTGGCTCAGTGGTTGAGTGCCCCTGAGTTAAATCCCCAGTACAAAAAAAAAAAAAAAAAAAAAAACTCATTATAATTCATCATGACAGTTCTTTGTGTTGGGGATATAACAGTGAACAAAACATAAATTTCACCCCTATAATTCCAGCAATTTGCAAGGCTGAGGCAGGAGATCACAGGTTCAAAGCCAGCCTCAGCAATTTAGCAAGGCCTTAAGTAACTTAGTGAGACCCTGTCTAAAATTAGAAATGAAAAGGGCTAGGGATGTAGCTCAGTGATAAAGCACCTCTGGGTTAAATCCCTAGTACCCTCCAAAAATATTCCAATTCTTGTGTAGCGTACATTCTAGTTGGGGGAGACAGACAATAAACTATAAAAAAATAAAATTATCTGAGCATGGTGATGTATTCCTGTAATTCCAGTGACTGAGATAAGTGGATTGCAAGTTTGAGTCCAGCCTGGGCAACTTAGCAAGATCCTGTTTCCAAATTAAAAAAAAAAATGCTGGAAGTATAGCTCAGTGGGTTCAATTTATAAAAGATAAATGCAGTGGAAAAGATCAGAAAAGGGGGATGGGGGCAATTTTAAATAGTTTGGTTAGAACAAGCATCATTGAGAAGATGACATTTAAACAAAAACTTGAGGAGAGGGAGTATATAAGTAGATTGCTTGGACACTCTTCATTTGATCCTCAAGGCTTGGGTGGACATGTCTACCTGGTCCACCTGCCCCAGGGCTCCAGAGACATTAGTCTGAAGCTATCCCTTCTCACTCTCCACCCTGTGTTAGAGGGAGAGGACAATTAATAAGCACCCCGAATTCAGGCTATGTTGCCGAACAATCAGAGTGGCCCTTTGAATTCTTGACACCTTCCTTTTTCCCAGGGAACCACATCCACATGGTGACCGGTCTTGACCCCCAAAAGCTGAACAGTCTGCACACCCTGGAGCTTCGGGGAAACCAGCTAGAATCCACTCTGGGAATCAACCTTCCTAAGCTGAAGAACCTTTTCCTGGTAGCTCATTGGACCATAGGGTGGTATGGGAAGAGGGTACTATCCTAGGATCCTTAGGCTTTGCTACTAACTTCATCATCATAATTACAATCATTATATTTTTTTTCAAAATACATTTAGTTCATATCCAAGAGTCTAAATAATCTTAACAGTTACAGATTGCCCAAAAGTCCAAGTCCAAAGTCACATCTGAGACTCAAGACAAATTCTTGGCTGTGAGGCCCTGTAAAGATCAAAACAAGTTACATATAACCAATATATAGCGGCAAATAACCGCTGTCATTTTTTGAGCCTTTACTGTCATTTTCTGAGTTGTCAGATTGTCCTTGACTGAATTACACAGCACTCTTCATTCATACTATGGAGATGTAAAATTAAAGCTGGCAAGATGCTTCCTACAAAGCAGGGCTAACAATACACAGTGTGTAGATAATAATAATTTGCTTTGATACAGCAAAATGCAGCAGCAAAATGTACCATATCTGAAGTACAGATATCAGGCTAAAGAGTCCCCTTAAATGGTTAGGTTTTTAGATTTGAGATTCTTCATTCTAGGATGGTGCAATAGCCACTTCTCAGTGGAAGAATAGGACTCCTGGGCCTGAGAATGGGTTAAAGCATCTCTTCCTCCTTAATTAGAGGTAGCTTTGGTGGGATGTCTGGTAGGCAATTACAGCTGACCTTTCTCTGGGATGGCAGCTTCTCCTAGACTTCCAAAAAAAAAGATTTTATACTGGGGATTGGATTGAATCCAGGCACTACCACTGAGCTACATCCTTAACCGTTATTATTATTATTATTATTTAAAAAAAATTTTTAGTTGTAGATGGACACAATATCTTTATTTGTTTATTTTTATGTGGTGCTGAGGATCGAACCCAAGCACTCTATCACTGAACCTCAACCCAGCCCCAACCCTTTTTATTATTTTGAGATAAGGTCTTTTTTTTTTTTTTTTTTTTTATCACGGATTAAACTCAGGGTGCTACCCAACTGAGCACATTCGCAGCCCTTTGCCCTATTTATTTTTTATTTTTAAATTTTTCTCACTAGGTTGCTGAGGCTGGCCTCAAATTTGTGATCTTCCTGCCTCAGCCTTCTGAGTTGCTGGGATTACAGGTGTGCACCACTGTGCCTGGCTTACTTCTCCCCACCCCCATCAGGTAGTGGGGATTGAACCCAGGGTGATTAACCACTTAGCCACATCCCCAGCCCTTTTGATTTTTTATTTTGAGACAGGGTCTCACTAAGTTACTTAGTGCCTTACTGAGTTGCTGAGGCTGGCTTTGAACTTTCAGTCCTTCTGCCTTAGCCTCCTGAGTTACTGGGATTACAGGCATGAGCCTACCACACCTGGTTCCTGCATACTTTTAAAACTGTTTTGGGGGGGTACCAGGGATTGGACTCAGGGGCACTCAACCACTGAGCCACATCCATAGCCCTATTTTGTATTTCATTTAGAGACAGGGTCTCACTGAGTTGCATAGTATCTCACTAAATTGCTGAGGCTGGTTTTGAACTCAGTCCTCCTGCCTCAGCTTCCTGAGTTGCTGGGATTATAGGTGTGCACCACCATGCCTGGCTCTTTTTTTTTTTTTTTAGTTGTTGTTGGGCACAATATCTTTATTTTATTTATTTATTTTTATGTGGTGCTGGGGATAGAACTCAGGGCCTCGCACATGCCAGGCAAGCGCTCTACCACTGAGCCACAATTCCAGCCCCCATGCCTGGCTCTTTTGAAACATTTTGCAGTTCTGGAAATGGGGCCTAGGACATAGCAGGGCCTTGCATGTTAGGCAAGCATTCTACCACTGAGTTATATCCTTAAGCCCTTTCCTGGACTTCTTCACTCTCTATATTATCCTCTACTCATTCATCCTCATTACTCTTCCACAGCCCCCCACCACTTGAATTTCCTCTTTTGCTTCATCTCTTTCTGACTTCCTTTTCTTCTCTATCCCTGTTCTCTTCTTAATCCATTTACTGTATCCTGCTGTCTAGGCCCAGAACTTGCTGAAGAAGGTTGAAGGCTTGGAGAACCTAAGCAATCTCACTACCTTGCATCTCCGAGACAATCAAATTGAAACTCTGAATGGGTTCTCCATGGAAATGAAATCACTGCAGTACCTCAACCTGAGGTATGTGCCTCCTCCCTAGCTTCCCCTTATGTCGCCATTGACCTGGATTTTGAGCCTGTGTTCTTCCCTGGCTCCTTCTAGCGCATAGCTAGGTCCTCACCTCATCCTTCTGGATCATCACCCCTGCTTTTCTTACTTAGTTCTGCATTTGGTTCTAATTCCAACACTAAGACCATTTATAACTGGTAACTCTTGACTCCTTAATTAATTAAATACACAATTAATAAGAATATACTATTGCCAAGCCTTGTATTGGTTGTGTTTTGGGAACATCTAAAGGAATCAGAGATAGTCTCTGATTTTCAGGGGCTCACAATCTGTCTCCAGCTCTTTTCCTGGCAGCAGCAGTATTATTATTATTATTATTATTATTATTATTATTATTATTAGTGGTGCTGGAGATTGAACCCAGACCTTGTAAATGTCAGGCAAGCACTCTACCAACTAAGCTATACCCCCAACCCCCTGGCCTTATTCTATAGGAATTCCCACTTCCTTTCTCTATGTCCTAGGCTCCATTTCCTGCCTCTCTTCGCCTTGGCCCACCTGTAAGGGATGGCTTCCTTACTGATATTAAACACAAGATGTGTTCAAATTTAAGAGAGGAGTATTTTAAAGAAAATCTCCAGGTAGAAAGGTGCTGGGGTCTGGATATTTTCTTTCACCAACTCTTATCTAATGAAAGATTTTTTATTTCTTCCTTTCCTACCATTTGCTTCTTTCATCTTTCTTTTTTTTTGGGGGGGGGGGGCGGTGCTGGGGATCAGGCCCAGGAACTCACACATGCTAAGCATACTCTACCACTCAGAGATATTTTCAACCCCTGGAGGATTTTATGTGTGTTTCTTTAAGCAATGATGTAAGGAAATTGTCTCTATCCTTGGGCAATAAGAAGAAATCAAGAGCTGGAGTTGGGCTCAGTGGTAGAGGGCTCGCCTAGCAAGTGTGCCCTCATAAAAATAAAATAATAAAGATATTGTACCTACCTATAACTAAAAAATAAATATAAAAAAAGAAGAAATCAAGAAAAAGAGAATATCCAAATAGGAAGAGGTGGTTGTGCCTTGAAACCCCAATTCCTGCCTTTGACCCCTGGAGCAATCTTTTCTTAATAAGTTCTGCCACATAGATCTGCTAGAGTGCATTTGTGTATGTGAGTTTTCCTATTAATGGGCTAGACAGGGGTAATAGGCCCTTCCTTAGTGACTATTAATCGGGTATGTTTGGAGGTAAGTGGAGGAAGGGGTGCACATGTTGTCTAAACCACTGGAAGGTGCTTCTGAGGCAGAGATGCTAAACAGAATATTCAATACAAAATGCACCTGCTCTGCTCCCTGGCATCTTCCAACCCATCCAAGTGAGAAACACTGCAGGAGGCCTAGCACATTCACTAAGATCAGGCTGAAACAGCTAGGTGCAGTGGCCCACACTTGGGAAGCTGAGGCAGGAGGATTGCAAATTGGAAGCCAGCCTCAGCAACTTAGGGAAGCCCTAAGCAATTAGGGAGACTCTGTCTCAAAATAAAGAATAAAAGTGGGGGCTGGGATTGTGGCTCAGCGGTAGAGCACTCGCCTAGCACAGGCGGGACCTGGGTTTGATCCTTTATTTTTATGTGGTGCTGATCCCTCAGCACCACATATAAATAAAGGCATTGTGTTGTGTCCATCTAGATCTAAAAAAGATTTTTTTTTAATTAAAAAAAAAAAAAGAATAAAAATGGTTGGGGATGTAGCTCAGTGGTAAAGTACTCTGGATTCAATCCCCAGTACAAAGAAAAAAAGAAAAGAGGAGAGAAGAAAGATCCGGCTGAAATATTTAATAAATATGAGTATCCCACAGTGAGGCACATTAGGAAACCAAACTTGTTCTTCAGACTGGGAGGCCTGGCCCACCCATAGCTCTAGGCTCCTTCTTGTGGGGAGCATCAACACAGCACCTACTTTCCATCCCTTCACAGTTAATACTTTGTGTGTGTGTGTGTGTGTGTGCTGCTGGGGATCAAACCCAGGACTTCAAGCATGTTAGGCAAACACTCCTTCAATGAGGTACATCCCCAGCCCTCCTATTCCTTCTCTACTGAACTTGGTCCTACCTTCTATCTTGATGCGTGATTGACACAGAAAAAGTCTGTTCTGTTAATATACGGACATTTGCCCACTCCTCCTTAACTACAGGACAGGGTGTGACCTAGCTTTGCTCCTCCAAAAGTATAAAGACGAGACATCACAGAGTACAGTATGGCACTTAGAGATTCATGGAAGGGCAGAAGCAGGACAGGAGTGGGACTGGACAGCATCTCTGCAGCAAATCTGGCAGCATTTAGCAGGCCTGTCCTCACAGTCTGTTTCAAGAAAAATAGGCCTGGTGGGAAGTTCCCTCCAGAGGTCCCATTCCTAACAGCAAGGAACCAAAGTCCCTTATTCCTGGATGAACCCTCTTGACCACACCTGCAGGGGCAACATGGTGAATGACCTGGGAGAGCTGGCAAAGCTTCGGGACCTGCCCAAGCTTCGAGCCCTGGTGTTGCTGGAGAACCCAATTACAGATGAGACTGATTACCGTCAGGAGGCCCTGGTACAGATGGCACACCTGGAGCGTCTGGACAAGGATTTCTATGAGGAGGAAGAGCGGATTGAGGCTGATGAGATTCGTCAGAGGATCAAGGAGGAACAGGAGCAGGAAGCTGAGCCTGAGCATGACTTGGAACTGGACCAGCCATTGGTCTAGCAGTGGTTCTTCTACCCTCCAAGGATAGTAAGGATGCTGGCAGGGAGGCAGCAAGAAGATGCCAAGGGCTGGGCAGAGAGGGGAAGAGAAGGTGCTGCAAAAGGCAGTGGGTAAGGAAGGGCTAAGGCAAGGAAGACTCTCAAAGAGACCAGAGTTAGGGGAGAAAGGTGAGGAGAAAGGACCAGAGGGCCTGGGAGAGCTGATAAAAAGCCTAGGAGATACATAAGAGATCAGAAGAATAGGTGAGAAGAACTGGGGGTGGCAGGCAGAGGACTTGGTTAGCAGCCAACACTAGCATAGAGTGAAGATCATAGGAAAGGACAGATCTGGGGGCATGGAGTGGTATGGGGAGTGGTAGGTAGAACATGAGGAATGCAGCAGGGCCTGAGAGAGAAGGCAGGAGAGGAAGATCCTGCACTAAAACTCTAAAGCTAAAAATAACAAGACACAGGAGTGAGGAGAAGAAAAGAGGGCAGGGTGAGGCAGAAAGAGATTGAGAGGAGCCCAGGGAAGTCAGGCAGCTGGCACTTCAGGTGGGGATGGACGCTTTACTTCTGTTCTCTTCCTCCAGGAGACCAATGACCTCCGCCCCAAGACCTGATAACACTCCAGTCCCAGGCCACTACATTCATACTACTGTCATGGAAGACAGGATGCTTCCTTTTGCTCCAGAACTGGGAATTCATCACAGCCTGAAATCCAGGCTCAGTGATGGTCACCTGGGCACTGTTGCAGTGTGAGGTGTTCTAGTGGGCCTGAACTCCCTTTGGAGCCTAGGCAGGGGTCAGCCCTCACGCAGGTCTGGGTAAGCAGCAGGGGATGCTTATGCTTGGAGGGTTGGCTGGAGAAAAGTGCTGCGGAGGCAGGCAGGGGTGTTAGGGACACTAACGTTGGTTTTCAAATAAATAGACATTTTGATACTCTTGTGTCTAACTTGATTTATGACAGACTGAGTCTGCCATGGGCTTCTCTGTCAGTGTGGGACTCAGTACCCGCTGGGTTATGGTGCGAGACCGCGCTTGTACCCTTAGAATGGATCGGAGCATTGGTGAGCGCCCGTGTGCTCGGTCGGTAGCAGGGCAGGTCGCGGGTCTTCCCTGCCTCTCCGGGTTTGCTTCTCTCACCTCCCCACCCCCACCGATCCCCCACCCGCACTGGTACGTGCGCCTTCGCCGGCAGTTCCTGACTCATCGGGGGCTCCGGGTCACATGCACCGGCCCGGCCCTATAGGCGCCTCCCCCCGCGCCGCCCCCCGCCCTCGCTGGGGAGCCGCAGCCGCCTCTGCTGCTGCCACTCCCGCTCTCTTTGCGCCTTCGCCACCGCCACTGCCATCGCCACCAGCTGAGTCTGCAGCTCCGAGGTGAAGCCCTGGTCGGGCCGGCGCCCCTCTGGCTCCCTTTCCCTGTCCGTGTTCCCTTCCTCCTCCCTCGTCCTTCGTGCATCTCTGCCGGTGGCGCTGCGCACCTGCTCTTCACCCGCGCTCCCTGGCGCCTTCCTTCCCCCGCCTTCGCCGATCTCTCCTCTCTGGCTTTCAGGTTTTCGCCCCCTCGTTTAGGAACTAGCCTCTCTGCACCTGCTTCTAACTGCGCGTTTCTTCACCCTTGCCTGCCTCTTTCCCCGCGCCTCGTGTCCAGCCGATTTGTTTCTTAAGTTCGGCGTCTCCGCTTTGTGCATTTTATTCTGACACGTCTTTTTTTGCTTTGCGGTTGGGGAAATGTCTTCCCTTACCCTTCCTCAGCTCCCCCAGACTTCCTCTAGACTGCCCTCTCTCCCACTCCTTTCCCACGTAGCCCCTCTCCTTTTACATTTCCTTTTCTCAGCTCTATGGAAGGAGTGGGGAATTTGGGGAATGGGGAGAGAGTGGGCCTAGCCTCTACTACCCCATGTGGTCTCATGCTTTCCCACTCAGCTGCAACCCCCAGGGACTGGAGCCCCACCCCCACCCCCTTTCTCTACTGCACGTTTCTCAGGAAGAGGGACTCGCGTTTGGGAGAGAGGTTGGGACCCTGGAGTGTTAAGTATGGGTAGGATGCGGACTCTTTCAGGAGAGGTTGCGCAGACAACCCACCTTCCTTCCTCTGAGGAAAAATGCCAGCCTGGCAGCCATTCTGCTCTGGGGATATCTGGGGGAGCCCCACCGGCCAGAGAAGCTGCCGAGGGGCGAGGGAACCACTGTCTTGTCCCTCCTCCATTCACTGCGGAGTTATCCCATCTTCTTTTTTGATTGCACCCCGCCTCCGCACCCCGCCTCCGTCTGCAGTGACCTCCCCTCCTCACTGCATTGACCTTCTCCTCTCTCTATGGCGGGAGGGGGGTACCTCTTCTATAGCCTCTGACTGCAGCCAGCTCCTCCCCACCCCCCCACCCACTGCAGTAACCTCTTTCTCATCCCTCCCAGCTTATGGCCCCGCCCACTGATATGAGGCTCCACCCCTCTAAGCCTCCTATCTTCTCCTTTCTTCCCTTTCAACCTAGGAGATCCCAGCCATCATGTCCATAGAGAAGATCTGGGCTCGGGAGATCCTGGACTCCCGTGGGAATCCCACTGTGGAAGTGGATCTGCATACTGCCAAAGGTAATGTACTAGGTCTGGTCTGGGTTGGGAGGCCTTCCCTGGTACCCTGAAGGAATGGGTTCCTGAGCCAGGCTCCCAAGCTGGATTGTGGGGTTGAACCTCCTTGTCTAGGGGAGCCAGGTTTGTGTTCTAGTTTACTGTGCCACATGCCCTGCCTCTACATATCTACTTGTATGCAGCCCCACTTCCAGCTTAAAGGCTCATTCTATCCTAGGACATCAGGATAGAAGGGCCCCCACTTTAGGAATTCTGAGGAATGTGGGTGAAGGTGTGTGTGTGTGTGTGTGTGTGTGTGTGTGGTGTGTGCTTCCTGGCATAGCTTCATTTCTGTGACTTCCACTTGTGCCTGTGGGCCTCTGTTGGGTGGATGAGGAGCCACTATTTGTGCAGCTGGCTGTGTGTGGGTGGGTGGGTGGGTGTAGTGTTAGGGAGCAGTATGGGGAGAGGACTGGATGTAGCAAGCAGAATTTTAAGATCAGGACTGAAGGCTGAAGGAATCCCTGTCCCTATAGTGTCTTTCTCCCTCCCTCCTCATTCTGTGTCTTCTCCAGGTCTTTTCCGGGCTGCAGTCCCCAGTGGAGCCTCCACTGGCATCTATGAGGCTCTGGAGTTGAGGGATGGGGACAAACAGCGTTACTTAGGCAAAGGTGAGGCCCTTTCTCTTTTATAGGCTCTGCCACTCCTCAGCCTTATACCCTTACCTCACACCCTCGCCAACTCTTTCCTAGCTTGCCTTCCCCTCCTCCTATTTTCTAGGGCCCGACTCTGACCCAGTCTAGCCTCTCTTCCTCTTCCTAGGTGTCCTGAAGGCAGTGGATCATATCAACACCACCATTGCACCAGCTCTCATCAGCTCAGTGAGGCCCGCTGTTTGCTAGGGATGGCAGGACCAGTATCCTGGAAGGAATCCTGGATGGGGAGGAGGATGGGGAGGGAAAGACCCACTTTTTAGGAAACATGGTTACAAGGGGAAGGGTGGGAAAGGGTTCTTATTGTCCCCTGCTTCTATGGGAGTTCATATCCCATAATGCTAGCAGGCTGCTGTCACAGAGACCTGGTTGGATGCTGGCCAGATGAGAGCCTGGGTGAATGGGGGGACCCTCTACCCTAGGGCCCAGCCTCTATCCTGGCCATGCATAATGGGGGCTGTGCCCACAGGGTCTCTCTGTGATGGAGCAAGAGAAACTGGACAACCTGATGCTGGAGTTGGATGGGACTGAGAACAAATGTAAGTAGGGGCTGGGAGAAAGTGGGCATAATGGTGGAATAGTAGTACACATAGGAACTAAAGGAGTCTCTGCTGAGGGGCTTCTTCAGAGACCATCAGAGGACTTCTTCCATCTTTTTCCCAAAGCCACTGCAGTGGGAAGGAGTAACATTAGACAGAAGAAGAATTTCTTTGTAGCATAAAGTGGAGGGAGTTGGCCTAGATAGTCTGGGGGAGTTTAAAAGGGGTGTGGCTTTCTGCCCTTTCTATCACCCTCCTTTCCACTTCCTCCCTCTGCCCTGCCTTTTGCAGGAGAGAATGGATGGGATGTCACTGGGGTGGGGAGAGGAGAGGGGGTCTCTTTTCCTGGCTCTTTTTGGGGAATATAGGTAAGTCTGGGGCTAGAAGAAAAAGGAACATTTTTTTCAGTGCCTTCTTCTTTAATCTCCCAGCCAAGTATGGGGCCAATGCCATCCTGGGTGTATCCTTGGCCATTTGTAAGGCAGGGGCAGCTGAGAGGGAATTGCCCCTATATCGTCATATTGCTCAACTGGCTGGGAACTCAGACCTCATCCTGCCTGTGCCGGTGAGCACTGAACTTTGCCTGCGCCTTTCTCAGGGGTGGAAGGGAGGGAGCGGGAAACCTCATGAGAAACAATGGAGAAGCTAATGAGAAGGCATGGGGACATGAGACTCAGTCTGGTGATCTGGGTCAGTTGGGGTTCTTGGGTATTATTCCCAGGGGCAGGGGGGAAGGGCTGTTTGACTATCTTCTGTGGCTCCCTAGGCCTTCAATGTGATCAATGGTGGCTCTCATGCTGGAAACAAGCTGGCCATGCAGGAGTTCATGATCCTCCCAGTGGGTGCTGAGAGCTTTCGGGATGCCATGCGCCTTGGGGCAGAAGTCTACCATACCCTTAAGGGGGTCATCAAGGACAAGTATGGCAAGGATGCCACAAATGTGGGTGATGAAGGTGGTTTTGCTCCCAATATCCTGGAAAACAGTGAAGGTGAGGTCAGAAGCCCCACTTCCAGCTTAAAGGCTCATTCTATCCTAGGACATCAGGATAGAAGGGCCCCCACTTTAGGAATTCTGAGGAATGTGGGCGAAGGGTCCTTGAAACTCCTATAAACCTCAAGAGGTACCAACCCTTGGGGTGGGTTCCTGGGGGTCTGCCAAGTTCACATGCAGACACAGAACAGTCTTTTACCTGCTTAGCCAGATCTGTTAGTATCTGTAAGTTCTCACAGCAGCCCCTGAGAACAATGGGAGATGATCTAGGTAATCTTGGGTCCGTATCATTCTTTAACATCATAGGAGTCTCAGTTTGATGAGATATCATATTCCAGAGAGCCCATTCCAAATCTATCCCATCCTTACTCCAGCCTTTTAGGCCTCTAGGATCCCTAAATCTTTCTGTGCTCTGAGAGACACTGTATTGTGGTTCAGTTCTAGGTAGTGATTAAGAGTTAATTTCTGGGCTGAAGGTGTAGGTCAATGGTAGAACATTCATCTAATTTTACTGGAGACCTAGGTTTCATCTCCAGCACTGCAAAATAGAAAAACAAAAGTAAAGAGAAAGAAGAGTTAAGTTTCTGGGACCAAATTGCCTGAATTTATTTGAACCTTGACTTGAAAAGTTATACAGTAGTGATCTTTCTTTCTTAACTTCTCTGTGCTTCCTTTTCCTTATCTATAAAATGGAAATAATAACACTTTATACCTCATAACATCATTGTGAGGATTAAATGAGATCATATCTAGGGGCTGGGATTGTGGCTTAGTGGTAGATCTCTTACCTAGCACGTGCGAGGCCCTGGGTTCGATCCTTAGCACCACATAAAAATGAATAAACAAAATAAAGATATTGTGTCCAACTACAACTAAAAAATAAATACAAAAAAATGATATCATATCTATAAAGTACTTAGGTGATGTGATATCAATAAAGAACAACTATTTGGGGCTGGGGTTGTAGCTCAGTGGTAGAGCGCTTGCCTAGCATGAGTGAGGCACTGGGTTTGATTCTCAGCACCGCATATAAATAAACAAAATAAAGGTCCATTGACCACTAAAAAATATTTTAAAAAAAGAACAACTATTCATAGTAATGCCATTTAGAACACCTATTCATAAT